TATTCATTAACAATTAAGTGGATTGTCCAAGTTTCAGGCTGTATTAACTGCATCGAGCTGTGGTTGATATTTAATAGGTGAGGAAAGTAGCACACAGTATAAATACAATACATGTATACTATACCTTGTACACATTTCCCAGAACAGTATCAGGGTTTGAAACAGCTTATATTAACTCTTTGTTTTAGAGAAATATTTTACATTTCACATTAACTCTTTTTTTTTTTTTTTTTGTATAGTGAATCCAGAAGGAAGTTGAGGTTTCCTCAGTTAAATCCTTTTTCATGTTGTTTGCAGCTGAGAATTTTTTCACTGATATGCTTACCTTCCCCCCACTCTTTCATATTTATGAAAAGGACATAAATGAGACTAAATTGATTCTGAAGTAAAAGAAGGAGCAACATAGAGACGATGTGCATATTCCAGTTGTATGGATTATGGGAGAAATACAAAACCTCCAGGTTCTCATTTTCCCACAAGACAGCCAATTGTGACACTTTAATATATAGGCATGAATATGTCAGAGAGGGAGTGAGGAGGTGAGTTTTTCCTATCTGTTGTTGCAGCTTGATGGCTTTGGTACCACATGTGCTACTGGCACTACACTGTAGCAGGCTAATGAAAAGCCTCACTGTCTTGGGGAGAAGGTAGGGAGAGATGTGGTGCATTCCCCAGAACCTTTGTTGACTCTCTCATTTGTGCTGTTGCCACTGGTCTGGAATGGAAAGGAGCTTGGTTAGGACTTCATCATACTATATGTGGCATACTTGGTTCTTGGTGTGTGACCAACAAAGGGTGCTGACCCTCACCGTTCCAGAGGCATAAGTTTCTGGAGTAGAGTATTGATCTCCCTAGTCTTCACCACTACTTCGAGTGCCCTGAAAAGACACTAATAATTTTTTTGCTCATAGAGAAACTATCAGTGCTATTATAGTGTGGGCTCTAGGGTGGTGAAGACAAGTGGGACAAATGCTCTCAGGGGCAATGGGCATGCAGGCACTGTATAGCTGAAGCCTTGGCAACACCTGGCAATTGTTGTCTATGCCATCATATGTATTGACTAGTCAGCAAGTTCAATGCAGACAGCCATGTGAAACAAGTGACGTTATCCTATTCATGAACTGTGAACTTGGAAACGAACTCACAGTAGGTGAGATAGAAAATTAAAATGCCTATATGCCTTTCCTGGTTTCAATTTCCTACCTTCCTCAGTGGTCCAGGGTATTTTTATTTGCTTCTTATGGTGTGTTTTTAAGGAACTGGTCAAAATCCTCCAAGTTTTACTTGGGCAGAATTTTTCTTCCACATCTTGTTCCTTTTCTGTCATTTTTCCTGTCTAGAACAACCAGCCTTAAATCCTTGAAAAAAATAAATTCCAGCTCCTCTTGACAAACAACCCCCTGTTCTGCTTTGCCAGGTGACTGATGGATTAGTTACAGGTACCCTTGCCTAGCCTGTCTCTTCTGCAGAGCTGCCACTCACTTCATCCAGCAGAGCTTCCACATGAAGGAGTGATTATCAGAGACTCGCAGCCTTCTTCTTCTAGCCCTCTATCACTTTCTACCTCTACATAGATGAAGATACCCAGATAGACAAAAGCTTCAACCAGTTTACTGTTTGGAACCTGAGACATATGAGAGTCTGCAGTACTAAAGAGAACTCATAGGAGTTGAAACAGATTTCGCAGATCATTACAGGACTAGCTATTTGCACTTGGCTATCATCTGCTAGGTTGTTCTTATATCCAAGTTTCTCAGCTGGAATCTGTCTATCTTTCCCTCATGTTAAGGCCTCTGGGCTTATTGTAGTGGTATTTTAGCCTACTAGTGGACTGAAAGCAGTATGAGACAGTCACCACATGCAGGAGGGAAATTTGGTACATTGTAAGAATACCACCAGCTTTTTTCTTCCTAGCAGGTAGTAAGAAATAGGTTCACCAATTCCCCAATCTGCAGTGCTTTTCTGAGAATTTTGAATCTTAAACTTCAGCCATTAGATTAGCAGCTCAGGTCAAAAATTGCCTAATTCCTAGCTATATCCCAAGACTGGTCTTCAATCTGTTGGAGGGAAATTTTCACAGTGGAAATATCTTTTTTCTGGTTTGTTAAGGTAGTTGCACTGTGGGCTAAACAGAGAAAAATTGGTGCCTTTTTCTCCTTGCCCTTTCCTAAGAGGTGCATTGAGCAGTTCAAGAGTTAAGATAACTATTTAATTCAAATGAACTTTGCTTGAAAGCCTTATCCCAGATGATTTGCTCCCACACAAGAAGAGAAAGGAAAAAAGAAATAAAGAGAAGCTGGCTGTGGAGAATTTCTAGTCTCTACCCCATCATTGTAGACAGTTTGCCATGAGGGCAAAGATGAAGCCTAGACAGGAATTCAGCTATACCCTGCACCAGTGACTGCATCTCTGGGTGGTGCTTTGACACTCATTCCCTTTAGCTTTCCTTTTTTAACCTGGGAGAAGGCTACAGACTAAGGCAAATATCTTAGATGGAGAAACAGACAATCATGCACGCAGATATAGCATGTATGCAAATAGCATGCAGATCCATAGGAAATATCCCAGAAAATATTATGCAGTTATGTATAGGATATTTGAAGCTAGACTAGGCAACCTGTTAATGGACACTAGGAGAGTGTTGTTTGGAGCAAGTATTTCCAAATATGCTTAAAAGATTGAGAAGCTTTGAGTGGTCAACCCAAATAATTTTGTAGATTATTACATCCCATTGACCACTTTAGCATTTCTGGCTTCTGTTGTAGTACATATGTCACTTACATCCACCTACACCCACCATGATCCTCAAAGCAGGTGGCAACTCACTAAAAAAATCATCACGCAGTATGGGACCCTTTGATTTATGATTTATATATTTCCAGCTCAGATTCTAATTTTGCAAAAGAAGGCTTCTCAGCATGCATTAATAAGAGATTAATGTTACATCCCTCCCAAAAATAACTGTTCATAGTCTTCCTTGTTTGTTGGGAGCTCTCCTTCTATTCTCAGCAAGTAGCTTCCTGTTATGTGGATGATGTCCAGATGGCCATATTTTCACCTTTAGATCCTGTGGTGGGCAAATTTAGAAGCAGTCCTTCTCAATCTGCAAAATATTCTCCCAAAGGCCATTTCATTTATTGAAGGAAGTTAATAACACAGTGGATCTGCTTACTTAAATTCTTAGTTTTATTGTCACAGCCATCTCAGTGTTACAACACAAAAACCTAATGGAAAGTTAAGGCTATGCAGAGTCATTAGAAAAGTCACCTTAAATCTTGATTTCTGTCAGACATATGTGAATGAAGGTCAGGTACTGCAATTTTTAATTTTACAACTATAAACACTGAGTTTGGAAAAGGATAAGTAATTTATTTCTCTTTTGTTAAGGCATGGGTAAACATATTCATGTCACTAAAACATTTGCATTATTTAAGCATTTGAATGAACTTGAATAAATTACTCATCTGAAAAGGCTGTAATTATTTTTGCCCAGACATGAATAAATAACTTTTTTTGCAGCATCTGTAAGCCTGTGGAGTTGTAAACTCATATATCAGTTGAGTCACCTGGATAAAAGCCATGTTTTAATAAGACAAAGAAGAAATGAAGTATATTTGCTGTCAGCCTCCTCTACTGGAACTACAAAAATAATTGTAATGGATTTTACTCGTTTGAAAAAAAAAAGCCTCCTAACCCTTAATTTACTTGGACAAACCAAAATAATTGTGAACCATCATCAGTGACCTTCCTCTTAGCTGACAGTTGGTTTGTGGCAGACAAAGCTGAGTAATCACCCAACCGCGGTAAAAACCAAAGCCATGTACCTGATGCAGTCTGGTTCTGAACTATCATTTGCGAAACATATTATGTCGGTTCATTATGAAAGCTTCATCATTTTGAATATTTTGTCCTTCTGTCCAGATGCTGAAAAATTGTTCAAGACTGTTTCTTCACAGTACATTTCATTTCTGAATATACAGAGCTGGATTTAATAGCATTCTTGTTTCCTTTTTTTAGCTTGTTAGCTTTGGGCGTTCCAAATATCTCCAATGTTAAACATTTTCCCTAGAATGAGTAGTAGCAGACTATCATTTGAAGGAACTGACATTGAAAAAGTCTGACTCTCATTTAAGATGTCTTTGTTGCCAAAACAAAAAGAGAGAAGAAACATGGGAAATTACAATTAGATGCTAGGAACAAAAAATTCACAGTGAAGGTGATCAACCACTGGAACAGCTTGTCTAGAGATGTTGCACGATCTCCACCCTCAAAGATATTCAAAACTCAACAGGACATGGTCCCAAGCAAGGTGAGGTAAATTGTCCCTGCTTTTGAAAAAGCATAAGGAGCTGAATTAGGTGACATCTGGAAGTCCCTTCCAACTTGAATGATTCTATAATTCAGAGCCTGCCATATGACAGATGACAGCAAAGTATTGTCTATTATCATTGTCAGTTCTCAGATTCTAGGTTCAAAATATGATTATCGTTCCTGGTGAAAGATTGCTCTGAATTCTACAGCAAGAAAGATTCTATATATTCATATTTGAGGAGGACGGAAAATCAGAATGGGAGAGATTTCAAGCATGGAGAGACATTTATGGAGCCTGAATGGACTGATATCTTATTGGACTGACTGTTATTCCCTAGTTCATCATTGGTTTTATAATAAGTTTAATGTACCCCAATGTTATTCCCCTCAGTCCCTCAGATTTTCCTGCCAAAACTTGTTTACTCCCCTGTTCTCCCCTGCTTTCCCGCTCCTCTGTCACTGACTGGCTGAGAGTTGCCGCAGTGCAGAGTGAGCCCCCATTGGTCCCTTCCCTTGGATACCCATAAGTTACACCCACCTTTCCCCTGCCTCCCAATCCTGTTTTACCCTGGTTTGTCAATCCCACGCTCCGCCCCAGTTATGAATCCTCCCCTCACCCTTACCCTATATAAGTCCCTGTTTGCCTTTAATAAACTGGTATTGCACCCAGACCTTCACCTGCGCCTGCACCCTTTTGTGTGGTGCCGCGTCCCTATCCCTGTTTCCCTCAGGCCGTGGCACATATTCATGCCACCACCTTTATGTCACAGAACTACAATCATTTGTTCCTTGGAAAACTCTTCTTCATTTAGCAAGGTTTTGTTCAAACCGGAACAATCTTGCATACGTTTGTGAGTTTTGTCTTGATGGAAGTTAGGATTAGATTGGGCCTGTAAACAGAAGAGTGAGTGAAATATTCTCCTTTAAGTTTAATGAATGCTTAATGATAAGTATATGTCTTATATAATGTATATACACTATTTATGAAATTAATTTACTGTTTACTAATTTGAAAATTAAGGGGGCTTTGGAAATCAAAGCAACGATAATGGAATAGCTGTTCATGCCTTCCTGTGACATGCAGTGAAAGAATCAAAAGTGGTCGGGGGGGAGTTCAGATGTGCATATCATATTAGGCAATGGGTGGGTGGTGCCTGCTGCAGGCAATAGTGAAAATGACTGAGCAATTGAACAAGCAAACACGGACAAATATCTCATTTGAAGCATAGAGGTTTTTTTTCTTTTTTTTTTTCCCCTTCTCTGTTGTCTTTTAAAGTTGTTCAGCTTAACATGTTGGAAACATTCAATTTGTCTTTACCTTCCTTTGATTTACACGAAATAATTAATGATGGGATGGTGAAATAAGAAACATACCTATCAACATTTAGTTTGTCTCCCAGTTTTACTTGGTTAACAAAGTTCCCTCTAGAACAGGCAGAATGAGGAAAAGCATGAACTGACTGTATTGGCAAACAGTTATTTTTGCCATACTCTGCCTTTCTTTCTACATTCTATTAAGAAAAGTTATAGATAATATATTAGCTGGAGATATCTTGATCCGTGATTTAATGGTGCTAAAGACTTCCCACCTTCCCACACATTTTTTAAGAGAAAACATGGAGAATAGGAAAGAATTTCAGGTTCTGGGCAGCAGCACCACACAAATTGTTACTACTTTAACCAATGTCAGGAATGCATAGTGAGAATGGGTTAGTGGGCCTAATATACATGATAATTATTGACTACTACTCTTCCTTCATGAGAGTCAGCACTATCAAACACATATCAATGAGAACTAGACTTAATGCATGTAAATCCTTCACTGGAGAAAGAGATCCATATTGCTAAGATTGTCATATTTCCAACAGGCAAAAGTGGTGGAGTAGAAATGATGGGACATGGTATGTAGTTCTGTGCAGTGGCAGGCTATGATCCTTGTCTCCCAGTTATGCTTGATGCAATGTTTCCCATTCAGGGATGAGATGCAGGAGCCTGCTATAGGAAAAACACTTGTCCTGACCTTATCTATACAGCATAACGTGCAAGAAAAAGAGAATTTCAAGCAGCCTGGATCATCAGAAAACCATGCCCTTCCTGGGGGTAAGCCAGTAACCTATGAATTATCCTAACATCCAGATTTGACTGTTAGCAAAAAAGAGAAGACATGGCAAAATAACATTATCTGAACTACTGATTGTGTAAATCAAATTCTGTTCAGTGCTTGTCTAAACCAATGACTAATTTACATTGGCCATCACAACTCTTGGTCGATTGGAGAAGAGTAGTATTGTACTACGCCTTACTGTCTCCAACTTCTTGCTTTCTTCTTTTCCTTACTAACCCAAGAGTGCTACTTCTTAGCTCTTTTCCATGGTGCAAACACAGATCAGGATTTACTTTGTTTTCATCTGACTTATGCCACATCAGTGAGGGCTGTCACAGTGGTTGGGAAGGACCAAACTAATGAAAATAAAAGATAAGTATATATGTATTATAGTTTTTCTTGGATAGCTATACTTAAGATCTTCTACCAGATGAATGTGCTGCAATCACATTGAAAACAGGTAAAGATGGTCTTTTGAACTTTTTTAAACCTTTGGAAGGTGCTGGACAGGTTGGGAGGTGCTGAAGATCAGTACCCAGCCATTTCCACTCCTATTCCTTCTTAGCAATGGAAAGACTATGCAAAAGTGTTGCTGTGACATGATGATGCAAAATGAGGCACAGAGCTAGTATTGTACATATCCCAACAGTGACACTATATAACCTATTAATACACTGCTTTGAAAACCACTAATAATTTTTTCCTGTTTTAGACTCAACACAGTACCTAGTTTAAGAAATTTGACTTAAATTATCCTGGTAATAGAAGTTTTTCATTTAGAAACAAAATCAAGAGATGAGCTAGCAGGCTCCTGCAGCTCCTGGGCTAACAGCTCTGGTTCTGGCTGCAGTTTTGACAGCAGGCTAAAATCCTGCAATGTACCTGTGAACTTACTTATTCAAAAGTTAATATGAATACATTTTCCAGTTTTTCTACCTCTTAGTCTTTTAGAACTTTGTATATGTTAAAGGTTCAGATTACTTTACACTATTTAATATTAGCAACAGCTTGTTGTGTGTAATTTATAAAAAACTCAACTCCTTATTTGTTTTTTCTGACTCTGAACTATCTTCTGGCTGAGTTTCTCTATTTCTTGCTTTCAATTATAAGAATCAGTCTTCCAAAGGCAATTGTTCCACTAGGAAGGTAAGGTGAAAAGGCAACTGAAATAATACAATGTGCCATCAAAATAAAATGTGGTACAATTTTAGTTTATTGCTACTCAGGGAATTCCATTTCAGTATCTTTCCCTCTTTGCCAAAAAGTGAGATAAACTAGCGAGTGTCAATACACTTCTGGTCAGAAATTTCCAGTTACATAACATACTGACATATAAGTGTTGTTTATACAAGACAGAACTAAAATATACTCCCTATAGACAAAAGACCATTAACCTTAAAACTTTCATTACTTCTACATTCATGATATCCCAAAGATAAAAACTTGTATTCTTTTCCAAGAAAAAAAGCTGTGAGTCTCTAGCAAAGCATGCACAGCTTCCTCATGGTATTGAAATTTTAAAAATTGCTTTAGTTGAGGTTTTAATCTACTTTTGGTGCCACTATGTAGCACTCAATGTATTTCTGAAGGCTTTTGTAATGGTCAATTTGTTGCTCGACAAAGTTAGAAAATACCAGCTTTTTGTGAAAGTAGCACTCAGTAGTAGCTGCGCCCATTACTACAGATCTGTATAGATCCACTCTACATACCTGCCGGAGACCACAATCAGGGTTTGAGGAGTCTGTTACTTTTGACTGTAAAGTTACAGGGCCGACCAATGGCCTTTCTGCCAAGAACTTAATACCTGAGCTGAGATGAGGTGAATCAGTAAGTGTAAGAAATCATAGGATACAGAAGGAGACAAATCTGGAAAATGCTAAGGTGCTTTCTTCTATCAACCCTTTGACATTTCACTCAGACTTTCCACAAAAATGTCTACAAAGCCAAAAGATAAAAGCAAGTTAATTGGACTCAAATCCAGAAAGTATACTGTGGTTTCTGCAGTGAGAAATTTTTTTTTGAGACTCAGTAATGGCTCTCCAGTTTTCTAGAGTCTAGGAGCAACAATTCCTTGTTTTGGTTTTTCATTTTTTTTGCGTTTTTGTTTGTTTGCTTGTTTGTTTGTTTGTGGGGTTTTGTGTGGATTTCTTGTTTGTTTTGGTTTGGTTTTTGTTTGTTTGTTTTTTTGTTTTAGGGGTTTTGTTAGTTTGATTTTGGTTTTGCTTTTTTGACTGAATATTATTTAAACTAGTTGTTTCATAGAAACACAAACTGATGGGAAACCATAATTTCAGGAAATGCCACTCACTGGACAGAGAGCTGAATCCCAAAAGACTGAATAGATGTCACATTAGAAGAGAGGAGAGAGAAAGAACTGTCATGTAAGTAAAATAATTAAAAGGCAAAATAAAAAAATAAGTAGCTATCAGAGAATAAATACTTTATTGTTCCTTATTTTCACAGAAGCAATTCCTTTTTGCCTTTCACAGAGGCAAAGCTTTTTCTGCATTGAATGCTGTGTTGGCAGCCTAAAACACTGCAAACCTTGAATAAATACCTGTGCAGGACTAGCTTCCATGTTCACTATGCACTCAACTATAATGAGAGAGATAACAGCCCAGCTGATTCCTTCCTGATCATGGGCCCATTTCTATTGCATTCAGATCAGCATGAATTTGGAATAGTTCAGTTGAAGGTAAAGAAGTTATTTTAAATTGATACCAAAGTAATACAGAACAAGCCCTGATTCACAGTGGGGAGATCAGATAATTTCCTGTATTGACTACAGACATAATGCAGGGCTTCACTCACTGAGAAGTGAATAAAATAGGTATTTTATATATTGTTTAACTACCAATTAGATTTGTTTAATGTTCTGTCTGTTGATAAGTTAAATAACATTTGCATTGACAACAACAGCTGTACTCTTTGCTGTCTGCTCCGTGCTGCTGTGATAATTATTATTTCAAAGCAAAAGTGAGTCTTTTTCCCTCATTTGATAGATACAATCCATCACATGAACTGTGGATTTCAAGCACACTGAAGTCCATTGGAAAAACTACCATGGCCTTCAGTGAGTTTTAGATTAGTCTCTTGAACAGGTCAGAGCTCTCGTGGAAAATAATAGCATGAGACCTTGTAATTAACTCTAAATACATAATGCCTGGGCTTGGGGGTATATTTGAAGGAATCACAAAATCTCAAAAGGGATGAAGCTGGAAGAGACCTCCAGAAGTCACCTAGTCCAATCCCAGGCTCAGGGAAGGGCCAACTATAGTGTGTTTCTCCAGGGACATGCAGGAACATAACTCTATTTCTTTACTTTTAAATGACCAACTTTCCTATTTTAATTTTCTCTTACATAAAACTCTGTACTACCTCTTACTCTCTAATTATTTGATCATTTTGGCAAATCTTCTGTGGCCTCTTGTCAAGAGAGTGGAATCCTGTTGTGCATTTTACATTTAGTATTACAGTTGGTTTTTTTCACTGAACAGGGCACCAGGATTTGAAGTTTTAATGTAATTTTGGAAATGATTGTAATTATTTGTAATTTTGACCTTTTTATGGTTCTATATTTTGATTGCAAAGCACTCCACTTCTTTAGTATGAACCTGCAGTGAGACTGCAATCAATGGAGAAAAGACTTAAATAGAACTAATATAAAATTGATACCTTTGGAAGGTAGAGAGATACCTTAAAAATTGTCAAGATCGACCAGAAATGTAACACTCTGAGCCTCCTTGTCAGACATCACTGTTAAGCCTCATTGAAAATGGGATGCTAAATAGCCACCTATGTTTCTATACAGATAATGTTCAATTCTTGTCCCACTGATTTTAATGGAATTCTTTCCACAGATTATTGTGTCCATAACCACTTGTGTTGACAAGTATGTATGCTCATCTGAATATTTTCATAATTTCCCTTGAAGTTTATTAGTTGGCATCCTGCAACATCCATGTTCTTGTGAATCTACTTGTTTTTTACATTGAGAACTATACAGAAATTAGCTGAGAATAAGACCAATTACAAGTGATTGATTGATTGATTGATTGATGGATGGATGGATGGATGTTCTCTATGCATATATGATACTGATTGTTGGTGAGAGTAATATTTGATTTAAAATTACAGCTTCTCTTATTACTTATCAGTAGTTGAATATAAATTAGAGTAACCTTCATGCCATTATGCCTTCTGGTCACTGCAAAGCCAAAAATATAGAGAGCATGGAAATAGAGCAAATGTCCAGGGTTACTGCCAGTTTAATGAGGGAGTTTTCCTTTGATCAGGGAAACGGGGTGCAAATCAAGGTAGGATTTTAATATTAGTCCTAATCTGAATCCTCATCTCACATTTTCATATAAAGAGATAGAGTGACATTTTTCCATAGGTCTTTCTTTCTTCTGTTCCTTTATTCTGATGAGGTTCCTAATTAAAGTTCATTGTCAATTTGCACAAACTTTGAAGTGAGACCAATGTTTTCTATGAGTAAAGTATATTCTCATACATTAGAATTGAAAATTTAAATTTATAATATATTTTAGGGTTTATTTAGTTATATTTTACTGAATGAAAATTTTAAGTATGTTTTCAAAAAGTAAAAGCTGATTTAAAGATCAGAACATATCAGCCTGACCTGTGTAAAATGAAAAAGTATCTACATTTTAAAAAAAGAGTTCATTAAACTGTTTTCCAGTTCTAGGTGATTTGAGTCTTGTACATTACTGAAACATTTCTGAATCTCTTAGATTACTTAAATTTTTCTGGTGGGAGGAATAAATACAGTGGCACAGAACAGTGACTGACAGTGCCTGGAAAGTATGGAGGGACATAGTCTATCTGATCTCACCTGAAATGATGTTTCAGACTTCACAGCTTGCACTGAGAAGGCGTGTATCAATCAGTGACCTTGTTACCAACCTCAGTGGGCAGACTAATTAATGATGCTTCTTTGCATAGATTTGGGGGATGAGTAGGAAATGGATATAACATAATAAAACTATTGTAAAGTCTCAGTTTTGAACTATTACTTCTAAAAAAGTTGGCGGCTATGTCAGTTTAATCAAAGCTAATAAATATGCAAGGATTTACTTTGCATCAGTAAATTTTTTGGGCACAATCCCAAATACTGCTCTCTTGGATGCTGCTGTTGGATGTATGTGCTGTGAATTAAGTGGTGAGCAGCATTTTACAGACTTTAATTCACTGGGCAGAATGGGAACTATCTTGCCTAGTAAGAGTTTCCCAGTCCATACTTTGCTGGGTGCCATCATAGTGGTTCCCACCCTCAGTGTCCATGCCAGCGTGAAACATGATGGTGCAGGCCATCCTCCCAACAGGGGAGGGAACTGGAGATACATATTACTGTTGTGAGGAGTATCCTAATGACTCGGGATGTTGCTCCATTGAAACAGCAGGTCAATATTCTTACCTTAGCAGACACAGTGTTACATTTAGCGGACTCGCTCTGTTGTATGTCGGGCTGCAGGATTAAACTAATTACATTGAGTAGGAGATTTTAAAATTCCTTACATATTTTAAAAGCATACAGGCTTTGCAGTTTGCACACCCACTAAATGGAAGTGATATCAGTTTCCTGGAAAGATAAATCACAGAATCACAGGATATTCTGTGTTGGAAGGGACCCACAAGGACCATCAAACTCCTGGCCCTGCACAGAACAGCCCCAAGAATCACACCATGTGCCTGAGAGTGTTGCCCAAATGTTCATTTAAAAGATATATCTCCAATCGTAAATATTAAAACAGCACCTACCCAAGGTGCAGCAAGGAGTACAGCATAGACTGCAGCGGTATTCCTGTTCCAAATCACTGGCATCAGAGGCTTCATTATATTACGCCAAAGATTGAGTTTATCAGTGTGGTGGTATCTTGCTGCATAGTACAGGGATAACTAAATGAAGAGTTTTTTAGGGAGAAGAATAAGGAGAAAATGAAAAAGAAAAAAAAAATTAAAAGATTAAGCTCCTTAGTATGGGAGGCACTGATAACCAGCCAATATCCCTACCTGGCTCCTTCTAAGCTAAAGAGGTTTAATCTTTGCAGTCCTAAGGCTAGGATCAAGAATTCTGAACAACTGACTGAGAGAACACCAAGGAAGCTGAAGCAGTTGTTTGCAACTGCTTGAAGTGAATATCAGACACACAAACTGCCAGCAAGTGCTTTGAGAAGGCCACGCTCTTCCCCCGAGTCCCTGGGACGAATGAAACTCATCAAAGATTGCAAAGGAGGATGAAAATTCAGGGAAAAGATGATAAAACTGGCCTGTGGCTCTTGCATGAGCAAATAACTTGCATTGGTAACTAAATTGATGGAAAAGTCAAAAATTGTGTCGACCAGAGAACACAACAGAGGTGAGAGTAAACATCACTTACGGTGGTAACCATAGTGCCTGGCTTTTTGATTAACCCAATGCCTTTTGCAGTTCGAAGATGAATATAGTAGCTAGGTTTTTCACAGACAGTCAATTGTTCTAGCTGCTCTGCAGTCTAGGCCCTTTAAGTTTTTCCATTATGTTCTCTTGACTGTATTTTGTGCAGCAGAGCTCTTAGACAAAAATACTGACTTCAGAGCGATTCATGGCTGAGGAAAGTGATACACACAGCTGAAAGGTACTTACAAAAATCTGCCTATGTTTCATCACAAATCTGGGACATACCGTACTCAAACAAAGTTTTCAAACATGTAGTCAGTCTTAGAAATGTCAGCTATATTGGACAAAGGGATTATGATATTTCCAAAAATTCCACTTCTCCAATGATTTATAATAATTTTTATCAAGTAATCTGGAGTCGTAGGCAGCCCATTAACAAACTAGCTATGTTTCAATCTTAGAGGTGACTCCAGAGCTGCCAGAAGAGCCAGATGTCACTAGGAATGTTTCTGTTGCTAGCTGCTGAGTCCTGTGGCTGCCACCAAACAAGAGAAGGAATGAGTATTGTCTTATTTTTCTGAGGCTAGCGGTCTCTGCATCAATCTACTGCAACTCTCTTGCCATTTGAAGCAAATATTTTTATGTCTTAGCATTTTCTTCCAAGTTAAAACATGTTTATGTGCGTGAGAGTGAAACTTCTAGAGTTAAAAGAAATCAAATTATTGTTTATTATTGATCACTGCTGCTGTATATTCTCAGCCTTTAGTGTCATAGTTTGAAAACAGAAGTGTTTAAGGCCAGGTTGGATGGGTCTTTGAGCAACCTGGTCAAGTGGAAAGTGTCCCTGCCTATGGCAGGGGGGTGGAACTAGATGCTTTTTAAGGTCCCTTCCAATCCAAACCATTCCGATTTTATTAAATGAAACTTTCTATTTTGGGTATGTTCTGATCTCATGGCTTAGTAACTCTTTGATTTTCCATGAGGACTAAATAAGTAGACCTTACAGCCTTT